AGGTTCAAAACTCCCTTCCGCCATAATTTGTACATAAATAATTAGTTTTCCAAATATAACTCTTGAAAAAGAGTAGAGCCAAATTTCCCTACAAATGTCGTATCTAAAAGTCTTTCTTTTACTTTATCTCCTGGATAATATGTAATAAATCATAGCAGATATTTCTTGGAACATAATAATTTTGAATTACCTTATAGGATAGTTGATCATAAGGATATTAAACCGTTGGCATGACTCATTGATTGATTTTGAATTAATTCCCCAATTTTCTGCTTCAATTCCACTCTGGAAGTTCAGGACAGCAGTGACTCCCTGATGCAGACATTCCGTGACTGTTGTAAGTGAACAATTGAACAAGAAACAACTAAATCCATGAGAACATGTCAATGGGAAATACACATGCATAGTCCTAAATAGATAGGGCAACATATCCGAATCTTCAGTAATGGCATACTCAAGGAACAATATTCATACAGCTGTGAAATAGATGACAAAATTATTACTGTTTATTGATGTAAAGATCATGTCCCACAATACCCTCCTCAAACAAAATCTGCCAACTCAAATCAGATTATGTAACATTTTCTGCCACCAAACAGATAAACCCAAGGTTCTTTATGAATATGATGATCACATAATTTACGTCCTGGGGTGGATAGTTATCCACAGACAAATTGACATCATGTCTATTCCCTACACAGGCTCCAGCAAAGCACACATTTACATGGCAACCCACAGAATAAAGTTTATTTGAGCAGACTGGCAATCACAAAAGCATAGAAAGAGAGACTACAGTTTGAACAAGAAATTCTTGTGAACTGTGTCTGAGTATAGACTACCAAGCATGACACATCATGTATCTGCATTATACAGGATCCTTGTGTCATAAGAAGCTTGATGCAACTTAATAAACATCTTACTTGTTCACATCCTGTCTTTCCACTAGGTAAAAAATAGAAAGGAAATTTCTTTTGCCAGGGCTGAAAGAGTTAAGTAGTTGTTAGTAAGAACTCACAAAATTCAAAAATCCCACTGATTGTTACAATACAGTCACCTTATACTCCTTATGCAATGCGCTATAATGCAAAATAAATTCCCAAGAAATCTTTTACAGCATGCATGGTGATAAATAGAACCAGAAGTTTATGGACTGGAAGATAGGTAACTGAGTGGAAATAAGATTAATAGGTTTCTAATAGCAAGAATTTAAAAATGAAGAGCCTTCTAAATGAAAGGTAGCACCACTAACTGCAACATTTGCCAAAGTCTCTACGTCAGCTTCCGTTTGTATACATGATCCCACATATATTTGCTCAGTGATCTGAAAAGTAAAAACAACACAAGATCAGCAATATGACATCAACCATCTCCTCATGGCATGGCCTCCCTGAAAGTGTTAATTTGAAACATCATCCACAAGATATTAATTTAAGTACGTTAACTTGAATTGTGAAATTAAAAAACAATTTGCAAACCAGACTTCAGAAAAGGTCTCCAGGGTTAAGAAAGGCCACTATTTTTTGAATTGTTATCTGGATCCCTGTATAGGTAATCAAAATCAAGTTGACCCAATACAATGTGGGTTTGAAGTTTATATTCAAGGAAAGTATACATAAAAACTTAACTGTTCAGCCCAAGATGAAAGAGTTTCATGTTACCAACTTCCAAAACTGAATATCACAATAACTTTTCAAGTATATATGAATCGATAGTCAATACNACTGTTCAGCCCAAGATGAAAGAGTTTCATGTTACCAACTTCCAAAACTGAATATCAAAATAACTTTTCAAGTATATATGAATCGATAGTCAATACGTCTATCAATAGGAGTTGTGCTGGTGTAATGTAGCACAGAATAACATGCATATCAGGCACATCCAAACTTCAATCCACATCCACATCCACATCCATGTAAAACTATGTAGAGCATGCACTCAAACAAAGGAGTAAAATTTTAATAGGCCAACATGTGGACCTAGATCTCATGTTTTGTTTGGTACGAGGAAAAAATTGAAAGATGGAAAGTTTGAGGGATAGATAAAACATATGTTTGGAATACCGAAGCAAGCGCTGCCCTGATTCATATTCCCCTAACTCATTACAACAACAGCAGCTCATTCAATTGAACATGAATTCTGTAGATGACAAATTTAGAGTGATAAAGAATTTGGAAAAAATAATACTTTTTACGAACTAAAAAATGTAGGCAAAATTGTTGATATAAGTATAGTTCATAAATTACCTAAATGCCATACCTTACTATACCTTGTACCAAGACTGTGATTGTAATATAATTCCCCTTTAGAACGATCCAATGCCTTAATGTATTCCTCCAATGGAAAACTCCCATGAGCCCATTCAGCCTCTCCTGATTCTTCCTCGGCAAATATGGTCACAAGTTGGCTCAATGGTGCAGCAGGAGTGTTTTTCCACAGTTGCGACTGAGCCTGTCCATTTTGGTCATTCAAGAAGTTCCATCCTCGGGAAGTTAGAAATTTTGAGGAGAACATCACAAACCCAGAATTCCCACTGCCCTCAGAAGATGTTTGCAAGTTTGAGGCCAATATATTTTTGTTCCAACTGGAGACAGCAACACGACCTCTATTAAATAAAATATCAAGATCACTCATGAGAAGAAGTTGTTGAATAGGAAAAGGAGAGAAGGGTCTCTCAAGGACAAGGCTACAAGATCCAGATTTCACTTCCATCATCTTCCTGCATAAACCAAAAAAGAGAGATGTAAACAGACATACAAATAGAATTGATGATAAATCATTTAGTTATAAGCTCTGCTGTGCTTTAAAACACACATCTCACCCACAAAGGAAAAGAAAACACGAACTATTTGTAAAGCTAACTGTGGGGGAATGGCCAGAAAAAAGTGAGGCTATTTTTCACTATTCAAACAGGAACTAGACGAGCATTGACATTTAAAATTTTGACAAATGCAAAGCAGAATCAAAAGTGCACCTCTACAAGGCACCATTCATTCGGACTTGGGCTAAAAAGTTGTTGATGATTCTAGAAGTTCAAAAATGAAAGCAAACAAATGAACGTCCTTTAGGGGGTATTTATTGCAAGATACAACTAGTTAATTATATTTTAAGCATACTTTATGAGGCAATATAAACATCAACAAAAGGATAAAATACAATGAGAAAGCAGAATAAGAGTCTTATGGCTTTATCAATCACATTAAGCAGCATCACTCCTCAAAAAGGGAGTCTTCAGCAGATGACTAACAAAATTACTGGCTACTCATACCATTTTAGCATGAGACATTATGGCTAAAACGCATTAAGATGCTATTTTGTCAACGAAAATGCATGGCATACTCTGTATCACCGAAGTCCTTAATCTCAACAAGCTTTGCACCAGACGATTCACCCGCCTTCTTCAATGTGTCACCCACCATTATAATCCTTGACTTCTCCGCATTACCCTACATAATTTTTCCACCAATTAATCATCTTAACAGATTGCAATTCAAAAGGAAGAAAAGATAGTACAAAACTATTAATTTCAAATATCAAAACTAAGCAGTGCAACACTATTAAATATGTGCCGAAATAAATACAAAGTACTACCAGATTCAAAAAATGTAGCCACAGATATAAGTAATTGCAAGTAGAAAAAAACGATCAGATATGAAAATGTGATACTTATAAAAGAATTTGAGAGCACTAACCCCTTTCTTGAGAGCATGAACGAAGATCTTGCCATCGACCGAGAGAGCGAACCGAATACCAAGTGGTTTCTCAAGAGTCACCATATACTCATTCAGATTCATCTTGAACGTCGAAGACATTGCAAAAACCCTAGAAATTCTCCGACTAAAACGTCGCTTCTCTCCAAAACCAACAACCGATAAACCTCCGTCGATCAAACCCAATTCTTTGCCCCAAAAAGAAGAGCAACTCACAGTTTTATCAAACGAAGAAAAGATTCTGAGATTTGCCGATTGGTCGAAAGTTCTGTAATTCGAAACTTGCAGAGAAGCCATTGAAGGTTGTTGAACTTCAAGCAATTGAGCAAAACCAGATGAACATAGCATTATAATTCCTAGGTATGGGCAATTTCACCATATATAAACACAGATTTTGCGAATACATACGCGATTCCACCATTATATAGATACACTATTGTGTACGTACATGCATCGAGATTCGAGCTGCTTCTGGGGAGTTGGGAGTTGGGACTTGGTAATTGGGAGTGATGGAGATAATTGAAGAGAAGAGAAGCCACAGAGTGAAGGTAAGAAAGAAAGAAAGAAAGAAAGAAGCCATTGGCCACGTGGCCTGGATTCTGAACCTTCTTGAACGTGGCTCAAGTCACTTTTCTTCTATTGGGAAATATTGCCACGTCGGAAAATATCTTTTCGTGAATGAACTAACTTCGCCTTGATTAACAGTTCTAGATGTTGAGATGGTAAATGGGCGGATTGAATTGGTTTAAAATAGATTAGGTGTAAACAAATTTAATTCATTTTTTAACATGTTTAATAAATAGGTAGGATTATAACGAATTAGGTTAAATCTATTAATCTGTAAAATAATTAAAATTTTTAATATAAACATATATTAATACACCTAATAAAATGTACGTTAATACACACAAAAAAAAAAGCATAATTGTTCATCAATAATTCTATGCACACATAATTGATCGAAGTAGATCACAATCGACCCAAAAATCAATATATTCAAATTATAAATCGTGAAATAAGATATTGATGGGGGCGCTTTAGTGAACCCGTAGGGCGTTGACACCTGTCCTCAATCTCAAGAGCATCACATGTCTTCGGCACCGAGAATACTCCAGCAATCTAATGGAGACACGTGTCTTTGGCATAGAGGACACTCCAACAAACTGATGGAGACATGTGTCCACGGCACCTAGAACACTCCAACATTCTGGTGGCGACATGTGTCCTCGGCACCGAAGATATTCCATGATTCTAAGGACACGTGTCCTAGGCGCCACCAATTCGTGAGGACTGTTTTCGGACAGGTCACCTTGACTCCAAGATGGATTATTAACAGTTGCAACCCATCAACCTCAAAATAAACAATGAATCATTGACTTGCTTTCCCAACAGAGCCAGATGGCAAAAATGATAGGACCACAAACCAATAGGGATTGGTCATGTGGTATGATGTGCAAAATCAGGTGCAAATTGACAAAAATGCACCAACTAGCTCGTAGTCACCCTAGAAGAGCCGAATATTTAATACCAGAGCCTCCCCACGCAAAATAATAGGTGTTTCTGCCCAATGATTGAACAGTAACCACCGTCTCCAAAATGGATCAATGGGAAGCCTCTTCTTGACATGACCCACCTATTAGTAATAATAACTTCTATAAAGGTATAAATAATTACAAAAAACTAAAGACAAATGTACGTAATCTGATCTCAGAAGATACACAGTATTTTTTCTATTTTCTCTCTCACGAATTGATTTGATCGTCGGAGGAGATACGCCAGAAAATACTCCGGCGCTCTTCTAACCTTTCTTTTGAGTGCCAGGAGATGTCTTCGGCTCACCGGAATTGATTGGATAACTGGAAAAGCAATTCATCACCACTCTTTAAGCCTTCTTTGGCCTCCTTTTGTCACAGAATCGTCAACTTTCGCGAAAAATATGAGTTCATCAAAGAAGAGCGTCGTCTTTTTATTTATTGTGCAAAAGTCAGCGTGTACAAATTTAAACTCACGACTACTACTAATGGAATTTGAATCAAGTTTCCATTGTACATGAAACAAAAAGCCACAGAACCTACTATAATTGTAGGAAGAGTTATGGGCCTCCATACAACAATGCATGCTCACATGAAANTGTAGAATCAATGTGGGCTTGGAATCTCTCGCTAAAGCTTTCAAAACATCCAAAATATTTCAATAAATAAAGTCAAATTAAAACCAAGATTTTTTCAAAAATAAATCTGTTAAGACAATCTCTACGGCCGTCCTTAAGTCCGGATGTCTATTCTGAAAATCCTATGCTCTCTAAATAGTCAGGAATCAGGATTAATAAGTTGTTGAGTTGAAGGTATGTCCATACAAGAAAATTAGGGCTTCAGAAGCAGAATGGAAGAAACTTACTTCCCATGTGAAAGTCTAACTTCAACTTCATATCTTGGACCATCCTTCTGCACAGCCTTAACTGGTTCTTTCCAGTTTCCAGTAAAATCACCAACCAAGTAAACGTCCTCCCCCTGTATTGAAATGACAAATTGGTAGCAACAGCACTATCAAACTGGATGAATCTAGAATATGTAAATAGAAAATGGTGTAAAGTCTATATGCTATAAGCTCCTTTCAAGGAAAAGTTCATTNTTTTCCACCAATTAATCATCTTAACAGATTGCAATTCAAAAGGAAGAAAAGATAGTATAAAACTATTAATTTCAAATATCAAAACTAAGCAGTGCAACACTATTAAATATGTGCCGAAATAAATACANTTTTCCACCAATTAATCATCTTAACAGATTGCAATTCAAAAGGAAGAAAAGATAGTACAAAACTATTAATTTCAAATATCAAAACTAAGCAGTGCAACACTATTAAATATGTGCCGAAATAAATACGNAGAATGGAAGAAACTTACTTCCCATGTGAAAGTCTAACTTCAACTTCATATCTTGGACCATCCTTCTGCACAGCCTTAACTGGTTCTTTCCAGTTTCCAGTAAAATCACCAACCAAGTAAACGTCCTCCCCCTGTATTGGAATGACAAATTGGTAGCAACAGCACTATCAAACTAGATGAATCTAGAATATGTAAATAGAAAATGGTGTAAAGTCTATATGCTATAAGCTCCTTTCAAGGAAAAGTTCATANCAAAGTACTACCAGATTCAAAAAATGTAGCCACAGATATAAGTAATTGCAAGTAGAAAAAAACGATCAGATATGAAAATGTGATACTTATAAAAGAATTTGAGAGCACTAACCCCTTTCTTGAGAGCATGAACGAAGATCTTGCCATCGACCGAGAGAGCGAACCGAATACCAAGTGGTTTCTCAAGAGTCACCATATACTCATTCAGATTCATCTTGAACGTCGAAGACATTGCAAAAACCCTAGAAATTCTCCGACTAAAACGTCGCTTCTCTCCAAAACCAACAACCGATAAACCTCCGTCGATCAAACACAATTCTTTGCCCCAAAAAGAAGAGCAACTCACAGTTTTATCAAACGAAGAAAAGATTCTGAGATTTGCCGATTGGTCGAAAGTTCTGTAATTCGAAACTTGCAGAGAAGCCATTGAAGGTTGTTGAACTTCAAGCAATTGAGCAAAACCAGATGAACATAGCATTATAATTCCTAGGTATGGGCAATTTCACCATATATAAACACAGATTTTGCNTAGCAACAGAAAATTTTAAGAGAAATATTAAGAAAACTTTGAATATTGTTTACATTTGTAGGGAAACAAATTTCAAAAGCTATTAGCGAAAAAAGGGTGACTAATTACCTCTTGCCCATTCCACACAAAGGTCACAGCATGGGTTGCAGGTCCATCATGTCTGCCATTCTCCACCATAGCTATAAGATCCCATGTCGCCCAGGCCATTGCTGGTCTGAATTCAAATATTAACACAAGCCTTTTTTTCAGCTTCTTTTCTGAATAAAATATGTATGGTATTGAACAAATTTCCTAATTACAACATGAATTAAAGATAACCGAAGTATTTATTTTCTGTTATTTTAAAAAATGATCCAATTGTGCAAGTTTGGTGGGAAGATATTATGGTTTGTCCTTCAACGAGAATTACAAAATACAGCTAATGACGTTGAACAAATGCATAAATGTAGTAGACAACACCACGTCTTCATATGCTACTGTGCTAGTCAATCATGATAAAATGTAGACCGGTCTTGGAATCTATTTGTATTTCCAAATACAGAGGAAATGCCTAAATCATAAACAAACACCCATCAATAGAGATAATGTTTAGAAAGCATGAAAGTATACGAGATGTTAATTTAGCAGGGTATGTGGCTTTCAAATGCATAGCCTGAATGGAGGGTTAAGCTAATGATAAGCACCTGTCAGGCTTGCATAAATGCAACCCAGTGACAAAATTGTAGGCAGCATGAAGAGAAGTGTCAGTCATCCAGTGCAAGTATGCAATCACACAAGCAGGGGATCGATCAAAACCAGTGGTGCAAGTGATATAAACGCGATGGTTCTTTTTCAATAATCGTAAAAGCAGACCAACACAAAATGGTAGTTTCTTCCTCATATCAAATGAATCTACGTCCCTGCAAAAGAAAATAAATGCAAATTACTATTCCATCATGATCTGAAAGCCAGCTAGTATATTGCTAGCTAATGAAGAAGATATAGTAACATAGGTTCAAAACTCCCTTCCGCCATAATTTGTACATAAATAATTAGTTTTCCAAATATAACTCTTGAAAAAGAGTAGAGCCAAATTTCCCTACAAATGTCGTATCTAAAAGTCTTTCTTTTACTTTATCTCCTGGATAATATGTAATAAATCATAGCAGATATTTCTTGGAACATAATAATTTTGAATTACCTTATAGGATAGTTGATCATAAGGATATTAAACCGTTGGCATGACTCATTGATTGATTTTGAATTAATTCCCCAATTTTCTGCTTCAATTCCACTCTGGAAGTTCAGGACAGCAGTGACTCCCTGATGCAGACATTCCGTGACTGTTGTAAGTGAACAATTGAACAAGAAACAACTAAATCCATGAGAACATGTCAATGGGAAATACACATGCATAGTCCTAAATAGATAGGGCAACATATCCGAATCTTCAGTAATGGCATACTCAAGGAACAATATTCATACAGCTGTGAAATAGATGACAAAATTATTACTGTTTATTGATGTAAAGATCATGTCCCACAATACCCTCCTCAAACAAAATCTGCCAACTCAAATCAGATTATGTAACATTTTCTGCCACCAAACAGATAAACCCAAGGTTCTTTATGAATATGATGATCACATAATTTACGTCCTGGGGTGGATAGTTATCCACAGACAAATTGACATCATGTCTATTCCCTACACAGGCTCCAGCAAAGCACACATTTACATGGCAACCCACAGAATAAAGTTTATTTGAGCAGACTGGCAATCACAAAAGCATAGAAAGAGAGACTACAGTTTGAACAAGAAATTCTTGTGAACTGTGTCTGAGTATAGACTACCAAGCATGACACATCATGTATCTGCATTATACAGGACCCCTTGTGTCATAAGAAGCTTGATGCAACTTAATAAACATCTTACTTGTTCACATCCTGTCTTTCCACAAGGTAAGAAAATAGAAAGGAAATTTCTTTTGCCAGGGCTGAAAGAGTTAAGTAGTTGTTAGTAAGAACTCACAAAATTCAAAAATCCCACTGATTGTTACAATACAGTCACCTTATACTCCTTATGCAATGCGCTATAATGCAAAATAAATTCCCAAGAAATCTTTTACAGCATGCATGGTGATAAATAGAACCAGAAGTTTATGGACTGGAAGATAGGTAACTGAGTGGAAATAAGATTAATAGGTTTCTAATAGCAAGAATTTAAAAATGAAGAGCCTTCTAAATGAAAGGTAGCACCACTAACTGCAACATTTGCCAAAGTCTCTACGTCAGCTTCCGTTTGTATACATGATCCCACATATATTTGCTCAGTGATCTGAAAAGTAAAAACAACACAAGATCAGCAATATGACATCAACCATCTCCTCATGGCATGGCCTCCCTGAAAGTGTTAATTTGAAACATCATCCACAAGATATTAATTTAAGTACGTTAACTTGAATTGTGAAATTAAAAAACAATTTGCAAACCAGACTTCAGAAAAGGTCTCCAGGGTTAAGAAAGGCCACTATTTTTTGAATTGTTATCTGGATCCCTGTATAGGTAATCAAAATCAAGTTGACCCAATACAAAGTGGGTTTGAAGTTTATATTCAAGGAAAGTATACATAAAAACTTAACTGTTCAGCCCAAGATGAAAGAGTTTCATGTTACCAACTTCCAAAACTGAATATCAAAATAACTTTTCAAGTATATATGAATCGATAGTCAATACGTCTATCAATAGGAGTTGTGCTGGTGTAATGTAGCACAGAATAACATGCATATCAGGCACATCCAAACTTCAATCCACATCCACATCCACATCCATGTAAAACTATGTAGAGCATGCACTCAAACAAAGGAGTAAAATTTTAATAGGCCAACATGTGGACCTAGATCTCATGTTTTGTTTGGTACGAGGAAAAAATTGAAAGATGGAAAGTTTGAGGGATAGATAAAACATATGTTTGGAATACCGAAGCAAGCGCTGCCCTGATTCATATTCCCCTAACTCATTACAACAACAGCAGCTCATTCAATTGAACATGAATTCTGTAGATGACAAATTTAGAGTGATAAAGAATTTGGAAAAAATAATACTTTTTACGAACTAAAAAATGTAGGCAAAATTGTTGATATAAGTATAGTTCATAAATTACCTAAATGCCATACCTTACTATACCTTGTACCAAGACTGTGATTGTAATATAATTCCCCTTTAGAACGATCCAATGCCTTAATGTATTCCTCCAATGGAAAACTCCCATGAGCCCATTCAGCCTCTCCTGATTCTTCCTCGGCAAATATGGTCACAAGTTGGCTCAATGGTGCAGCAGGAGTGTTTTTCCACAGTTGCGACTGAGCCTGTCCATTTTGGTCATTCAAGAAGTTCCATCCTCGGGAAGTTAGAAATTTTGAGGAGAACATCACAAACCCAGAATTCCCGCTGCCCTCAGAAGATGTTTGCAAGTTTGAGGCCAATATATTTTTGTTCCAACTGGAGACAGCAACACGACCTCTATTAAATAAAATATCAAGATCACTCATGAGAAGAAGTTGTTGAATAGGAAAAGGAGAGAAGGGTCTCTCAAGGACAAGGCTACAAGATCCAGATTTCACTTCCATCATCTTCCTGCATAAACCAAAAAAGAGAGATGTAAACAGACATACAAATAGAATTGATGATAAATCATTTAGTTATAAGCTCTGCTGTGCTTTAAAACACACATCTCACCCACAAAGGAAAAGAAAACACGAACTATTTGTAAAGCTAACTGTGGGGGAATGGCCAGAAAAAAGTGAGGCTATTTTTCACTATTCAAACAGGAACTAGACGAGCATTGACATTTAAAATTTTGACAAATGCAAAGCAGAATCAAAAGTGCACCTCTACAAGGCACCATTCATTCGGACTTGGGCTAAAAAGATGTTGATGATTCTAGAAGTTCAAAAATGAAAGCAAACAAATGAACGTCCTTTAGGGGGTATTTATTGCAAGATACAACTAGTTAATTATATTTTAAGCATACTTTATGAGGCAATATAAACATCAACAAAACGATAAAATACAATGAGAAAGCAGAATAAGAGTCTTATGGCTTTATCAATCACATTAAGCAGCATCACTCCTCAAAAAGGGAGTCTTCAGCAGATGACTAACAAAATTACTGGCTACTCATACCATTTTAGCATGAGACATTATGGCTAAAACGCATTAAGATGCTATTTTGTCAACGAAAATGCATGGCATACTCTGTATCACCGAAGTCCTTAATCTCAACAAGCTTTGCACCAGACGATTCACCCGCCTTCTTCAATGTGTCACCCACCATTATAATCCTTGACTTCTCCGCATTACCCTACATAATTTTTCCACCAATTAATCATCTTAACAGATTGCAATTCAAAAGGAAGAAAAGATAGTACAAAACTATTAATTTCAAATATCAAAACTAAGCAGTGCAACACTATTAAATATGTGCCGAAATAAATACAAAGTACTACCAGATTCAAAAAATGTAGCCACAGATATAAGTAATTGCAAGTAGAAAAAAACGATCAGATATGAAAATGTGATACTTATAAAAGAATTTGAGAGCACTAACCCCTTTCTTGAGAGCATGAACGAAGATCTTGCCATCGACCGAGAGAGCGAACCGAATACCAAGTGGTTTCTCAAGAGTCACCATATACTCATTCAGATTCATCTTGAACGTCGAAGACATTGCAAAAACCCTAGAAATTCTCCGACTAAAACGTCGCTTCTCTCCAAAACCAACAACCGATAAACCTCCGTCGATCAAACACAATTCTTTGCCCCAAAAAGAAGAGCAACTCACAGTTTTATCAAACGAAGAAAAGATTCTGAGATTTGCCGATTGGTCGAAAGTTCTGTAATTCGAAACTTGCAGAGAAGCCATTGAAGGTTGTTGAACTTCAAGCAATTGAGCAAAACCAGATGAACATAGCATTATAATTCCTAGGTATGGGCAATTTCACCATATATAAACACAGATTTTGCGAATACATACGCGATTCCACCATTATATAGATACACTATTGTGTACGTACATGCATCGAGATTCGAGCTGCTTCTGGGGAGTTNGCGAATACATACGCGATTCCACCATTATATAGATACACTATTGTGTACGTACATGCACCGAGATTCGAGCTGCTTCTGNGAAATCCAAATTTAAATTATGGCAAACCCGAATTTAGAATAGAGTAACGATGAACATTGAATATTTATATGAGGATAAAATCTCACTATTAAAAATTTAAATAAATTTTTAGTTTCTCTTTATTTGAGCTAAAAAAAATTAGTCTCCCTTGATTTGGTACAAGTTTCAGTCAAAAGTTGGAAAAAGTTTTTTTTAAATGTTAAAGATGCTCTAACAATGTTTTGTTNGAAAGAAAGAAAGAAAGAAAGAAGCCATTGGCCACGTGGCCTGGATTCTGAACCTTCTTGAACGTGGCTCAAGTCACTTTTCTTCTATTGGGAAATATTGCCACGTCGGAAAATATCTTTTCGTGAATGAACTAACTTCGCCTTGATTAACAGTTCTAGATGTTGAGATGGTAAATGGGCGGATTGAATTGGTTTAAAATAGATTAGGTGTAAACAAATTTAATTCATTTTTTAACATGTTTAATAAATAGGTAGGATTATAACGAATTAGGTTAAATCTATTAACCTGTAAAATAATTAAAATTTTTAATATAAACATATATTAATACACCTAATAAAATGTACGTCAATACACACANCAAAAAAAAAAAAGAAAATATATATTATAAACTATTTTTATAACACGGATACTCTAAATATTGAGCATCATTGTGCGAAAATGTATTATGTGAAGTACATTACAGGATTACATAGAAAAGCTTGTTCATTAACCTTGTCCCCCGGCAGAATTTGTCCAGAATATTCCCCAAAGGAAAAAACAGAAAGGTGGAAGAACACTTGCTTTGAACATGTATCTCTTTNTGTACGTCAATACACACAAAAAAAAAAAGCATAATTGTTCATCAATAATTCTATGCACACATAATTGATCGAAGTAGATCACAATCGACCCAAAAATCAATATATTCAAATTATAAATCGTGAAATAAGATATTGATGGGGGCGCTTTAGTGAACCCGTAGGGCGTTGACACCTGTCCTCAATCTCAAGAGCATCACATGTCTTCGGCACCGAGAATACTCCAGCAATCTAATGGAGACACGTGTCTTTGGCACAGAGGACACTCCAGCAAACTGATAGAGACATGTGTCCACGGCACCAAGAACACTCCAACATTCTGGTGGCCACATGTGTCCTCGACACCGAAGATATTCCATGATTCTAAGGACACGTGTCCTAGGCGCCACCAATTCGTGAGGACTGTTTTCGGACACGTCACCTTGACTCCAAGATGGATTATTAACAGTTGCAGCCCATCAACCTCAAAATAAACGATGAATCATTGACTTGTTTTCCCAACAGAGCCAGATGGCAAAAATGATAGGACCACAAACCAATAGGGATTGGACATGTGGTATGATGTGCAAAATCGGGTGCAAATTGACAAAAATGCACCAACTAGCTCGCAGTCACCCCAGAAGAGTCGAGCATTTAATACCAGAGCCTCCCCACGCAAAATAATAGGTGTTTCTGCCCAATGATTGAACAGTAACCACCGTCTCCAAAATGGATCAATGGGAAGCCTCTTCTTGACATGACCCACCTATTAGTAATAATAACTTCTATAAAGGTATAAATAATTACAAAAAACTAAAGACAAATGTACGTAATCTGATCTTAGAAGATACACAGTATTTTTTCTATTTTCTCTCTCACGAATTAATTTGATCGTCGGAGGAGATACGCCAGAAAACACTCCGGCGCTCTTCTAACCTTTCTTTTGAGTGCCAAGAGATGCCTTCGGCTCACCGGAATTGATTGGATAACTGGAAAAGCAATTCATCACCACTCTTTAAGCCTTCTTTGGCCTCCTTTTGTCACAGAATCGTCAACTTTCGCGAAAAATATGAGTTCATCAAAGGAGAGCGCCGTCTTTTTATTTATTGTGTTAAGCGCACAAATTTAAACTCACGACTACTCCTAATGGAATTTGAATCAAGTTTCCATTGTACATGAAACAAAAAGCCACAGAACCTACTATAATTGTAGGAAGAGTTATGGGGCTCCATACAACAATGCATGCAGCTTGCACATGAAATTGTTTCGTCTGTGTCAATTCGCGTTGGGTCATATAACCTGTGTGATATTTTTATATTGTGTCATGTTTTTATCAAGACTTACAAAAAAAAAATTATTTATTATTTTTTAAGTGTTAAATAATAATTTAAATTATTTATTATACATATTTATTAATTATATTAATTTTATAATCATATCCTGTTGAATTAAATTTAAATTCGTGTTGATGAGTCAAAATTGGGACCCTAGTTTAACCCTCTCAGCATTGAAGGTAGATGATTCCTTCTGTGCTCAATTACAGTCCCAATGAAACATTGGAAAGAAGCAAACCATCCAACCTACTTCGTAATCGAGGTTAGCGTTTTTTCTAATGGCCACTGACCCGTCATTGAATTTTAAGATTGCGAGTTTAATATTTATCATCCCTCTTCCTGTAAGAGTATTTCTAAGAATATCTCTAATTATGACTCAAATTTTTATTTAAATTTAAATTAATATTTGAGTACAAAACTTGATTTAATACAAATGGCTCCAATAGACAAACTCAAATTAAAGAAAAGAGAAATCCAAATTTAAATTATGGCAAACCCGAATTTAGAATAGAGTAACGATGAACATTGAATATTTATATGAGGATAAAATCTCACTATTAAAAATTTAAATAAATTTTTAGTTTCTCTTTATTTGAGCTAAAAAAAAGTAGTCTCCCTTAATTTGGTATAAGTTTCAGTCAAAAGTTGGAAAAAGTTTTTTTAAAATTTTTTACTCAAATTTAAATTTAAGTCTAAATTTGAGTAAAAGTTAAAGATGCTCTAACAATGTTTTGTTTTTTAACTATCTAAAAATATATTTTTTCTATTTTAACTATTCACTTTTTTAATACACACCCAAACAGATTTTTTATATTTTAACAACTTCTTTTAAATATTATTTCTCATATCTTATACATTTGTTAGGACTATTAAAGGGATAGAGAGAAAAAATGGAGAGAAAAATAAAGAGTGGACAAGAGAGGTGAAAAATGACAAAAAAAAAAAGAAAATATATTATAAACTATTTTTATAACACGGATACTCTAAATATAGAGCATCATTGTGCGAAAATGTATTTTACCTACTCTGAATATCTTTTATTGGAGCATATTTTTTGCCTTTTAGTAGTTAAATTTTAACTATTTTGAAGTTTTAATCATTCTCTCGAAGAAGCTCCAATAGGGTCAAAAAAAAAAAAACCTACTTTATGTGAAGTACATTACAGGATTACATAGAAAAGCTTGTTCATTAACCTTGTCCCTCGGCAGAATTTGTCCAGAATATTCCCCAAAGGAAAAAACAGAAAGGTGGAAGAACACTTGCTTTGAACATGTATCTCTTTATAATCAATCACTTAAGAGATTTTTCATGCATAAAAGTTCAAAATAACTCACGTTAGCAACCCTTCTACTATTTTTTTTTTTTTTTTTCTCTTGAAGTTAAGAGGCTACTTTAAAATGCAACCATTTGGGATTGATAATAATGCTTGACCCCCCATTAATTAGTAATTTAAGTCAATTGATCAAGTTGTAACTAATCTTAATTTAGATGTAACTATTGATACCATAGTTGTATCCCATGTGCTTTTTTGTAGTTCAACGGTCAGAAATATTCGTGTCTGTTTACGTACACCTCTACTAATTTCTTCCTTAGTCCGATCAAAAACAGACAATTTATGTTACAACTAGAATATTCACGAGAAATAAATTTTTCATCCACGTTGCNAACCCAAGGTTCTTTATGAATATGATGATCACATAATTTACGTCCTGGGGTGGATAGTTATCCACAGACAAATTGACATCATGTCTATTCCCTACACAGGCTCCAGCAAAGCACACATTTACATGGCAACCCACAGAATAAAGTTTATTTGAGCAGACTGGCAATCACAAAAGCATAGAAAGAGAGACTACAGTTTGAACAAGAAATTCTTGTGAACTGTGTCTGAGTATAGACTACCAAGCATGACACATCATGTATCTGCATTATACAGGATCCTTGTGTCATAAGAAGCTTGATGCAACTTAATAAACATCTTACTTGTTCACATCCTGTCTTTCCACTAGGTAANCTGTGTCTGAGTATAGACTACCAAGCATGACACATCATGTATCTGCATTATACAGGACCCCTTGTGTCATAAGAAGCTTGATGCAACTTAATAAACATCTTACTTGTTCACATCCTGTCTTTCCACAAGGTAAGNAGCCTCTTCTTGACATGACCCACCTATTAGTAATAATAACTTCTATAAAGGTATAAATAATTACAAAAAACTAAAGACAAATGTACGTAATCTGATCTTAGAAGATACACAGTATTTTTTCTATTTTCTCTCTCACGAATTAATTTGATCGTCGGAGGAGATACGCCAGAAAACACTCCGGCGCTCTTCTAACCTTTCTTTTGAGTGCCAAGAGATGCCTTCGGCTCACCGGAATTGATTGGATAACTGGAAAAGCAATTCATCACCACTCTTTAAGCCTTCTTTGGCCTCCTTTTGTCACAGAATCGTCAACTTTCGCGAAAAATATGAGTTCATCAAAGNTTTAATATAAACATATATTAATACACCTAATAAAATGTACGTCAATACACACAAAAAAAAAAAGCATAATTGTTCATCAATAATTCTATGCACACATAATTGATCGAAGTAGATCACAATCGACCCAAAAATCAATATATTCAAATTA